TCTCAGTTTATTGCCATTGAAACTGAAAAGCACAACATTGTATGAACACAGTAAGTTTTCAATAAGTGCAATCTCCATAGGGTATGAATTGCAGTGCCTGTGTATCCTCTCCTTGGCCTCACACCACAAGGCTGGAGCAAGGCAAGTTCAGGAGCCACACCTGACACGTTTATAGAAAAGTTCCCACTTAATGTTAAGGATTTTCTCAAAACTTTTTTGCTCTATGAACATCACAGATGGTAGATCTCTGCTTATCGTTCTCACGTACCTCAGAAATTATTAACAAAGAAACACTAGTATGACTGCTTAATTCAGTTGACATTAAGACTAAAAAGTGACCAAATTACTTTATAGTCAGTCATAAAAAATACAACTTGTAATTTTCATAGCAATTCAAGGTGAAAACAGCATACCTCTTATCAATATAAACATGCAATTCACAGATAACTGAATATACAAAATCACATATGTGCCTTTGCTCCTTTTTTCAAATGAGCTCCTTTACAAATGGGCATTGCTCCTTTTAACAGACTCTAGTATCTATTAGCTCTATCCTTTGTAGTGTATCATGAGTTTCTGTTCTTGGTTGGTTGATTAACTGGTTTTTATGTTGTCAGGGGATTTGTGATAATTCATCCAAGTCTCTCACCAGATCTTCCCTACTAAAATACAAATTTTAACAGCCGATACAGTCTGTGACCAAGAAAGCAATTTGCTAATCAATACAAAGAACTCTTACTAAATTATTAACCTTATTAAATCCTAAATACAATGTGCAAATGAATGATCATTAACTGACAATTAGCAACCAAGACTAATCAAGCATTTTGTCATATTTGTAAGCCTATCTTTACATTTTAGTTTGCCATCAGCAAAGAGACACATATAAAAGAGAAATGAACTGGAAAGCAAAAGGATATACCACAAGACGCCTCCTCCCCTACGTTCCTTCCCCAACCTGCCCTGCCAAAGGCTTCCCAAGAGCCCACCAGTCGTGCAGCCAAGGACATCGCACCTTTCCCTCATGACCCTATCTGTTGAGTGGGTGGATGAAAACAGAAGAATGCAGTTTTATTTTTATAGTTATTAAATGTCCTCAGAAGTTTTATAACTCATTTGCTGTACTACTCCCAATCTTTCCATCTATTTAAACCCAGTTCTTACCATTAATAGTCATCCCACACGAATTATATCAGCAACACATGCACAATACTTTTAACATTTTATACTTAAAAAGCAATGTGCTTTTATAAAAAAACTTTCCTTTCATTCTCTCATATAATCGTCATTGGTATTATATGTAATATAATTTTATTGATGTTGTTTTGACAGCACAAGATGAATACAGGTAAAATCTAGACCGATCTACATGTGCCCACATAAAAAGAAAATATTAAACTGAAAGAAATCTTGACATTCATCTTGTCCAATCTCTCAGAAAAATCTGGCAAGTATGTTTTTCACTTTTGTTAAAGCTTGCCTATTCTCTTCCTGCTCAGAAAGCTATGCATGTTGTCCTACTACTATAGTTCTACCTGTCAGAAGAAAGTGAGATAGATACTGGTACTGTCTGTTGACATACCCAAGTCTTTTACCCATAGACTTGGCAGGTGTGAACACAACCTGTAAACACAAAAAGGGAGTGTAGCCTCCTAGGAAGATACCCGTATCAGCTGGAAAACAGATTTCTACGTTTCAATTACCAGCTTAGCTAAACAAATTATATCTTGATAATCTTCAAGTATAAAGGATACATTCTGCATTCCTCAGAACAAAATACCCAATCCAAACAAGATACTATCTTGTCTGAGTTTGGAAGCCAGTGAACAAAGTGGAATTGCCCCTCCCATCTCATACTCATTGGATTCAACAAAGAGATGTGGGGCGCTATGTGCCAGGAGTCAAGTCAGGTATATATATAAGCAGGTGGTACATATAACTATTTATTACCTGATATGAAATAAATAAGAACCTGTCTTAAATATTTACTTTGGCTGTCACCTCTGAGTTTAAGAAATTAACAGCAATCTCCAAAATCAAAGAGCTTCTTCATCTGTTTTATTATCTCAATCCTACTAAAAGGTGTTAAAAGTAGCACCTCTACCTTTTTGTTTTCTACTCTCTTCCAAAGAAAGGTTAACAAGACATCCTGCCCTAAGCACAACGGACAATGCACACAGTTCTCTCTTCCAAAGGCAACAAGAAGAAAGTTGAATACCAATTAAAAAGAAGAAAGAGATGACACACACCATTACTCTTTCAAGTACAGAGAGAGGACACTTATTCCAGCCTACTCAGCAAAATCTGGACTCCAACTTGTAATGAAAGGACCATTTTTCTTTTTTTTTGGTAAGTAAAAGAACTTGGGAATTGATTAGCTTTAAAAATATGATCCCACACAGAGTCAAAAAATTGATTTTTATTTTTAAGAAAAAGAGTTTTTAATAAATACCATACAAAGATCATCCATAAGCAAACAAGTGAATCTGAAAGACAGGAAGAAGTGATGTCCATAAGCAAAAAGTTCATAAGCAACAAGTTAACATAATAAAATCACCTCTGGAGGGCTGATTTTTGTTTTGGAATTTTTTTCCCTAGTCCGTTTAATGGTGAAGGATCTTTCTTAAATGTTTCACAAGGGATACCTAGCACACTCTGAAAACTAAATTGTTTCCTTTAAGATTTTTTTTCTCACCTCAAAGAGTAGTCATTTTTACGAGGCTATTTTACTGCACTGGTGAATTTTTAAAGGCGTGCTGAGAATGATAAAATAATGTTTTATACTGAAGCAAAACTAAGGTGAGGGGGCATAGCAGGTAAAAACTAAAATGCAAAGACAAAATTGGAGCCCACTGATTTTGACATAAAGATATTAATAAACCAACAAAGACATTAAGCTACTTTCTTTTTTTTTTTTTTTTTTTTTTTTTTTTAAGACAGGGTCTCACTATGTAGTTGAGACTGATCTGGAACTCACTATGTAGCCCAGGCTGGTCTCAAACTCAGAGCGATCCTCCTGCCTCAGCCTCCTAAATGCTGGGATTACAGGCATGCTCCACCACGCCTGGCAACATTAATCTGCTTTTAAAGTAACCTTAAGCACAAAAACATTAATCTACTTACACTTGGACTATTTCTAGGAGGTTAATCTGAGTAATTAAATGAGTTTTCAACACTGTTTTCTCTAAATGCAACTTTTTTATTCAATTTGCAAGTTTAAAGCACACTAAATAAAATTATCAGAACCCTTGAACGTTGGGTGTGGTGGCCCATGCCTCTAATTCCAGCAGTAGGGAGACCGAGGCAAGAGGATCAGCTGGAGTTCAAGGCCAACCCAGGGTACATATTGAGTTCAAACCCAGCCTGAACTACACAGGGAGACCCTGTCTCAAAAAAGGAAAAGGAAAAGGAAAGGAAAGAAAAAGAAAGGAAAAAGAACCACCTGAATTCCTTATGTAGGCACTGCTTAATTAAGTATCCAAAATTAGCTTTCAGCAGTATAGGAAATGTCACTCTAATATCTTCAACAAACTTTGGCTTTAATTTGGGCAAACTGTAAGAGAAAAAAAGCATAGTATATAAGATAAGCTACAACTTAATCATTTAACTTAGAAAATAATCTGGGCATATTATTAGCAATTGTCTTAACTTACAAGGCACCTGGCATTTTAAAAAGGTTCATAAACAGATTAACCTGCTTAGTCAACTACAGTAGTGAGCGGACATCATCCCTACATCATGAAAATAAGAAAGTTACTACAATAAATTAAAAACTCAAGAGTTTGAACGCAGAATTTTTAACTCTTCCCCATTCACAAGGTCATGCATTAACTGCAGTCACATCCTTACCAAGTTCATCAAGCAATTAACCTTTAGGAGAACATTTTATTCACGTATGTTAAAATTACCCAAAATACACAGGTAACGATAAAAACCAGCCTTTGCCCAATTTTCTTGATCACAAAAGCATTCAGTCTTTCTCTTAAGTGTAATTCCTAGAAGGCACTGGCAGATCTCTGCCAGGCCACCCTGCAGTCAAAAACCGAGTACATGTGTCCAACAAGATGACAGGAGGGTCAATGTTTCTAACCGTCTACTTCAGTTTGGCACTGCAAGAGCGGTTCAGCCTAGCATCGTTAACACAGTAATTGTATAGGATCGAACACAGCTCATGTAAATAAAGATCTGCCTGACCACAAATGGAGAGCTTTGGGGAAATATAATTTCTGGAACAAAACACGGTGCTTGCATAATTCCACATACGCACGCCCAAGTCAATTTTTACAACAATGGTAGTCCCCGCAGTGTGGCGATACTTTTCCCACTTAAACTTCTCAGCACAGCCTGGCCTAAAACTGGGTTCTAAACCGTGCACAGGGCAACAGCGACAAGCACCACGACCGGCCCCGAGGGGAACGCCTGCCCCTACCCAATCCTGCTCCTGCAAGTTGCAATGTAGTTTGGTCCGGTCTAGTTTATGGTAATGTGCTTTTAAAATCCCGCCGCGACCGAGGGAGGTCAAAGCTTTAGAGATCTAATAACAACCAAATGACCGGAGCTGCAGAGCACTTAGCAAGCCATTCTGATTATGGCGCTTTAATAGCACCTGGAGTTCTGCTCAAGGGAGAGCGGAAAACTCTAGCTTCCCGGGAAAGAAAGTCCTCTGCGGGGTACGCGGAGCGAAGCAAGGAACCGGCGGCGGGCAAGGGACGCTCCGCCGCCACGGCCCCATCTCTCAGGCAGCGCCGCGCGACTCTCACCCACAGCCCACCGGCCCGGACAGTACAGTATAATCTCCATATAGTAGGCTGAAAGAAAATTACTTTATTTTTTGATAAGGTTCCATAACCCTACCCTCTACAGGTAAAGCTGAGCAAATCATTAACAAAAGTGAATAGGTCCCAAAGAAAGAAAAAGCAAAAAGGCTGCTCCTATAGGCAGGGGGCCATCGGGCACCAAGCGACCCGAGAAGCGACACGCTACTCCTGTCCCGCACCTACCAGATAATCCATGTGCAGAAACGCCTCAGTTATCCGGAGATCAGACATCCGGCAACCTAAAGCATCCGGAACAGCTCCGAACCCGGAAAAAAAGCAGCGTCTCGGGCTGCAAGCGAACAGCTCCAGAAAAAGCCAGCAACAGCGAAAATAACCGAGAGCAGCCGAGAAGCCGAAGATTACACAAGGGGCGCGGCGATTGGCCGGCCGGGCGGGCAGAAGGAAAGGAGGATGCTTATTGGCTACGATGACTATAAAAGGCAGGCCCCTGCTGGTGGTAGAAGAGAAGCGCGGGAGAGCGGTGGGTGCCAGTTCCTGTGTGCTAGGGGAGGGGCGGAGGTGGCGGCGCGAGCGGAAGAGCGATCCCGTAGAGCGGATCTGCTGGGACTGCGGCTGCCTGAGTCTTACTTGCTTCTGTAGCCTCCCTTTTGGGGAATATATTTCCCGCTCCAGGGCTAGGAAGGCCCTGTTGTCGATATGTTCCCCCACACACACACCCAAGTAGGAAGCGAGCGCTTTTCTGTGGGAGGCGTGTTAGCCACCGTAACTCTTTCTCGGTCCCGAGCGCTTTCCTAAATGCCCCTTGGCCTGAAGACCTGTAGAAGTGTACTCTGTACAGGAGGCCAGTGCACTACGTGAAGAAAGACTCCTCACGTTCATCGCCTGAAACTAGGGCAGGCAGTTTTAGCCTGCTGGCCCCGCCCAGACAGTGGGGTAACCCAGAGGCCAGTGGGGAAAAAAAGTGGGGAAATCAGTTTACCACAAGTGAAAGTTGTACTCCCCAAACGCTCCTGATGAGTTCTTTGCATGCTTTGAGTCCTATCACACTGACCACAAATCCAACACTTGTGAATAAAATAAGTAGAGTAAGAGGCTCTCTGAAAGCACCCAAGTAATGCAGCATTTTGACCTTTTTATTTTTAAAGTTTTTATTAGTACAGGTTTGCAATACATAATGTTTACATCCTTGTGGGAAGTTGGTACATGTACATAACAGATCTTAATTTCTTTCTCATTACCTTTCCCTTTCTTCCATCTCTTGATCCCCATTTTATTTTAAGAGGCAAAACAGCATAAACAGAGGCATTTGAGACGTCTGTGTTTCTTGGTAAATAACTCAAATGGGCAGTGGGATTTCAGTATTGTGCTAAATTGAGAAAACGTCTGAATCGGACAAATTAGAAAAGAATATTCAACATTGGAGATTTTTGTTTTTTGAGACAGGTTCTAGCTATGTAATTCAGGCTGCCCTTGAACTCACTGTGTAGCTCAGGCTGGCCTTGAGCTGGTAGCAATCCTCCTGTCCTTCCTCAGCCACCACACCCAGCTGTTTCTTTTTTAATTTAGGCTGTAAGTGTCACAGTCAAGGCAAAAATGAGACGCTAGCTGGGTGTGGTGGCACACGCCTGTAAACCCAGCACTCGGGAGGCTGAGGCAGGAGGATCACCACGAGTTCGAGGCCAGCCTGGACTACATAGTGAGTTCAGGGGCAGCCTGAACTACAAAGTGAGACCTTGTCTGGGGAAAAAAAAAAAAAAAAAAAAAGATAAACTCCCCCCTTCTTTGGAGTGGAGGAAAGGGGAACAAAGACTACAAGTCAGTAGAAAAATGAATACTAATGCTCAGACCCTTTGTGCTATAATTCCATATGTAGAAATCATTAGAATAATGAGATGTGGACAGTTTTATAAGCAAACATTCACTACAGTATTTTAGTAGAGGACTTGTTAATGTAGTACACTTACAGAACAGCTTTATGTGCTATCAAATATTTATGAAGTTTCATGATATAGTGACAGTATTCTTTCCTAAATTATTATATACCAAATGAACGAATAATAGCAAAAGTAGATGAAAATAACCAGTTATATGTTTTTGTTTTTGTTTTCTGGATGGTAGGATTCAGGCGACTAAGTGGCAAAAACATTTCTGTTTTACTTTGCCTCCAGACACAGCTATCTTACTATTCTCAGGTGAAGTGCCCCCTACCCAGTACTTAGGGAATATGGAGGCTGCATTAGTAATTAGGGCTTGAATAGAACAACATTTAGAAAAGTGAAACCTAACAAATCTTTCTGAAGTCACTGTACAAATAGGGGTTTGATTTTTATTTATCCTCTAACTTGACACTTTCTTTTTTGTGTCCAACCTGGTGAGTAATGTGATTTGGGAAATTCTATCTAATCTCCCTAACCCTGTTTCCTTAGTTGCAAAATAAGACTTCCTACAACCAGAGAGTTTTCAAAGTAGCTAAAAGGCTGTGAATATACACAAGGTACAGGGCTTGACTTTGTTGATCCAAATATCAGACGAGGTGTATGTGTAATTAATAAATTTTACTTCCAAAAACATTTCAGTGAGTTTTTCCTAATTCAATGTCTAACAAGTCTTAATCGTTTTAAGCCATTACATGTAATTTTGATGCTTCCTGATATTCAATTAATTAAGACCTATTCAGAAAGTTGATAGGGTAAATAATGATTTCTGCTACCTCTAGGAAGATTAAATGGACCTAAATCAGAGGGATAAAGAAAAAAAAAACTATTGAAGGAAAGTTCCCAAAGACTACATGATGGTAACTCTTTATTCCACATTATTTCCACTTTCATTATGTCTAGCATCTGTGAAAACTTCATGTTCAGGGTAATTCATTTATTTTATTTATTTTTTGGTGGGGGTTGAGACAGGGTTTTACTATGTAGTTCAGACTGCTCTGGAACTCACTGTGTTGCTCAGGCTGGTCTTGAACTCGCAGTGATCCTCCTGCCTCAGCCTCCCAAGTGCTGGGATTACAGATGTGTGCCACCACACCTGGCTTTTTTTTTTAGGGTAATTTTTTATGTGTTTTGCATTTTTAAAAGTCCTTGCTGAGAAAAATCCTGCAGCTTCTGAACTCCACGTGGAGCCTATTTCTTCAATTAGATGTCAGTCTTCTGGGATGTTACCCTTGTATAGAGGAAGAAGCTGACTTGATTATGTTGTTATAAACAGGTAATACACAATCCACTACATGAAGCTGAAGTCATAGCTGATGGGGCTGATAGCAACAGCTTTAATCTCCTCATTGTGTGGTTTTGAAAATAAAATATAGAAAGGTTAGAAAGCATTTACTTAACCAATCTTGCAGTATGCCATCTAACAGGCTACAGTCTTAAATAAGACAGATCTTTCTATAATTTAGTCCTACCCCTGCTTTTGGGGGGGTACTGGGAATTAAACTCAGGGCCTCCCACTTGCCAGGCAGGCACTGTACTGCTGAGCTACATCCCTAGACCTAACCTTACTTTCATTAAAAATAACTTTTACAGATGCAGAAGAAAGCAGGTGTAAACTCATGGGGAATGGAATTACTGTACAAGTTGTGAAGAAAGAGGCCATCACTGTTGTCTGTCAAAAACAAAGAGAAATTCTTTGGATAGCTTATACTCCTCAATTCCATGAAGATTGCTATTTAGCTTGATTTGGAGGCAATTTTTTTGTTGTTAAAGTATGATTTGTAGGAAACAATCACGACTGTGTATTTTTGCAACTTACTCTACCATCACTTACACACACACGCACACACACACAAAACAAAAACAAAAACAAAAAACCACTAATGGCTATTTCCATCTACTCTTTTTTTTTTATTGTTCATTTGGTGTATAACAACTTAGAGAAAATTTCTCCTTACTAATTTTGCATCGTGTACACTCACTATATACTTCATATTTATGAAATACTTCATTAATATCTAACAGGTATATAAAACTCTATTTTACAAATGTGCTGTTAGCAAATCCCCTATGATATTCTTGTCTGATAAATATTGCAGTGAATGTTTGCTTATAAAGCTGTCCACAGTCATTATCCTAAGTTACTGCACAAAATGATGGCCCTGCTTGCCACAGGATTTAGTAGAGAAAGAACTTCATTATGATAAGCTATTTGATAAGAAGATGGCAGGAATTCTTGTTCCAGAAGAGTCAGTTTTCCCAGAAGCTCACTCAAGGGCTGTTTCCACAGGAGATTTGTGATCGAAGAGATTGGTGGGCACCTTGTCACAGGTGGAGGTCTGTGGCCAAAGATGCATATCTCCTCCTAATTGCCTGGTCATAAGATGCTGCTCAGTTCTACAATTTTCAAGAGCGAAGATATTATTGCCTTGGGCTAGTCTTGACACTGAGTAGTTTGCCCAGGTATTCTAGACAGCATGCAATGATCAGGCCAGAGGGGTTAGCTGCCCTAGGCCCTCTTGAGCACCAAATATTCATAGTAATGAAAGAAAACATACTTTACCTGATTATTGTGGCATACAAGGGTCAGATGAGGTTAAATGGGAAACCAGGCATGAGATCCAGTCTCATGCGTTGGTTCCATTAAGAATAATTTCTAGATCCATGGGTTTAGCTCAGTGGTTCTCCTGCCTATCTTACAAGCGCAAGGCCCAGAGTTCGATCCCCAGTATTAAAAAAAAAGAATAATTTCTAGAAAGCCAGGCATGGTGGTACAGGGAGGCTGACGCAAGAGGATCGCCAGGAATTTGAGGCCAGCCTGGGCTACACAGTGAGACTTTGTCTCAAAAAACAAAAAACAATACAGCAACAACAACAAGAAAATAATAATTTCTAGAAATGGAATTACTGGTACAAAGGGTATGAGCACTAAAAGTACAATACTGGCCTTCAGTCCTCTCTTATCCCCAACTCCAAAATGATTACCTTGTCTCATCCTTGTCTTGATTATGTCCCTTAGCAGTTGAGAGATGGTGTTTTAAATCATGAACTTTCCTTTATCAGAAATATTGGAAGACACTGAATTCTGCAGAGGTCATCAGGTGCCTTGATATCTTACCACCTTCAATAACTGTTAGGACTTTGGAATTCTCTTTGAACTCTGTCCCCTTTTCTTCCAAGTGGTCCCTTAACACCGCCTCTGGTTCACACCAGTCTTTGCTTTCTAAACCTAAACAAAGTAGTGCTGTGTCTCAAAAGATAAAACCCCAAAGTGGTATTCCTCCATGGGAAGCTGCTATTAGAACCTGGTTAATAAACTTATAGTTGGAAAGAGGTTGGAACTTAAAACTAAAATTGGGATTTTTTTGTTTTTAATGTGGTAGCCTACTTGCAATTCAGAAGAACCTTAGCTGCAATGGTTGGTACTTAAATTCTAAATCTAAAAGGTCCCC